TACATGGTCATGATTTCTATTTTTTTACATTCCTATGAGATTAATTCTTGATGTCCCTAGGTAGTGGTCATCTAAATAGAGAATATCCCGATGGCATGAATAGAGAGAACGATATATATACAGATATTATTAAGGGTGTGATTCTGTGAAATAGCTGTCGACACCCAAATTGTTCTAGAAGTTTACTAGTTAGTCCATTTCTTCTTTATTAATTGATTCTAGTTTTGGAGGATTGTCTCGTGCCGTCAGTGGCAGGCTGTTGAAATCCCACGGCGATATATGGAAGTGTGACACTATTACATCCTATATTACTTAACGCATACCATAAGTTTAGCTTAGTGAATCTGGGTGGCACCTAAGTTGGGTGCAATAATATTTATTCAAAATTGTTATCTCTTCCATGATTGGATGTGCTTACATTATACCAAAATAACTCTTGTGTCTTTTAACTACATTTATGTTGGTTCAAACTAAATCATCATGCAAATTAGACATGACATCAGCACTTCTATTCTGGCTTCTATTTGCCTTTCGACCATATCTGAACTCACCTTTTCATTAATTTATCTATGTGCACTCATTTTTTGTCTGTTTCTTTTTTTGTGTCCGTTGACAGGTTAACCAAGATCGTGCATTTCCGTGAAGACAGCATATACCTTGGCTGTATTTTAACTATCATCCATCTCAAGCAGCACTCATGTCCTCGTCTCCGCAGCTGACAGATATTGCCATTCACAAATCTTATTGAGAGAACATGATAGTAACCGACGTAGAATTACTGATCATTCTGTTGGGCTTGAAGCATGTCTCTGGATTCTGATGATTTCTGTCTTGAGCCATATGTAATATCCTGGTCCTTTACATATCTTTGGGTTTTGGTGTGTTTATTAATATACGTGGATTATTATCTATGATGTTTATCCGTGCAATAACGCTGTTATTAAGTACTATCTTGTAGGCTGGTCTTGATCTTGGTGAATTATCTCTGAGCCTTTGCTTGATCTGCGAAGTATATATATATATTCTCCTTCATGATATGAAGCTTGTTTTTGCAGGGAATAATATAATACTAGCGCTGGAATTGTTATTAAGTTCTCAAAAGAGTGGAATGGAGGCCACCAGTCTCTCCTCTGCTTTAAAGTCTCATTAGAAGAAGTCTGATGATTTTATTCGCGAATTGGCTTTCCTCTGTTGATCCGCCGTTGCTCTTTCTGTCTTCACAGCTCTTAAGAAGGGCCTCTTTAGTATGATACATATTATAGGATCAGATCATAGAATGACTGCATGACGTGAACGTCTATCCACTGTTGCATTGAATCTCCCCAGGGGTCTCCTTGGCTTCTTGCAACTTGATATCACTCGGATTTTGAGAGAACCAAGAGCATGGGAATTTTTCCTCTATTCAAGTCAATCTTCAAGTTGTCCAGCATATATGAGTATGAATACATATCCTACCCCAATCGGACTATACACACACTCAGTTAGAGTTTTTATCAACATTTATAACACAGGACTTTGATGATATTTGCTCTTTTCTCTTGGTAGTTCTCTGGCTCACATATATAACATAGATAACTAGAGAATTAATAATATTTATTAAGAAGGTGTTATCATGATTTAGCTCATGAGATTACTTTCTATCACTTGCTTGAAACATAACACCAACTGTTTCTTGAGATATTCACAAAGTATTAATATCGTAGATTACAATCAGTGAGCTTGATTCTATCACTCTCACCAGGATACTAAGAGCTTAAGATATTATCTATCACTGTGTCTCTCTTTTGTTGAACTATCTAGTTCATTTATCCTTGGGGTTTTTTGTGTTATTTCTCTGGGATGGTTGGTTAATTGCGAGTTGTTGTTCGCAGCTGGGTGAAGGTGTTATATATGATCCGCAATACAGAAAATTCAATCTTTCTCGATCATATTGGATTAGCAATAAAAATTATTGGTCTGGCTGTCCGTTTCTAGGGGGCTGGTGCTCCTCCTTGGGGGTTGTGGTCTTTTCCGTTCTGGGTTCTTCATATTTCCCTGAGTTTTCCGCACTGACGTTTTCTTCCATGCTCACATCCAGCTTCTGTTGTTTCTGTTCCCTTAGGAGATTATTGTTTGGGCTATTCACACACCCTTGTTTAGTTTCTGAGCGCCTTAGGTGCGTGCCTGTGGGTGAAATTGGACACTCCCTGTAATATTGAGTCAGTGGGTGCCGTGAAGGCTGTGCAGAGATGCCGTCCCCTCGTCAGTAGGTGCGGCGTTTGCCTTGGGAGGAACAGGCTATGGTGTTTGATTTTGGAGTCTGTTATACCCAGCCTCTCGTCTCTGGGCGGACATGGTTGGGATAAGCTGCCTCAGGCCGTTGAGCAAGGGGTCAAAGTTCTGTTCTCTGCCGTCAGGGCGGGGCTGGAATCGGTACCGCTCAGGCCAGAAAGTCTGGGTGTGGGGGAGTGGGGCTCTCTGAGCACCCACACGTCTGCAGCAGCCTTGCTTCTTCTCCACACCCTCCCAACTCCCGCAGCTACTCCTGGGCCTCTGCCAGCAGCGCCAGACCACAACGCACCAGGGCCCTCCACCGACTGTGTCCGGCGGGGAGGTTTCCGTGCACAGCGAACGCCACCTGGGTTGGGCGCCACGGCCCTCTCCCTGGGCGGAGGGTTGCCCTCCTAGGACGCCGATCCGGCCCCTGGAGGCACACAGACCTCAGTAGCTGGTTTCCAGTATAATCCTTCTGTGCCCGGGCATGCTAGCCCTCCCGGTGCAGGGGATCTGGTCTGCAGGTCCGCCGTCTGGGTTCCCAGAGTTCAAACTGTAACACTTCGCCCACCAGGGCGCAGGGCGTTTCCGTCCTAATTCACCCACAGGGAGCCCACAGCTGGGTCCTATGTCTCTCACGCCTCTGAGTCGGCACGTCTTTTCCTCGGGAACACGTGCAGCCAGACCTGGAGGCCGCGGGCGGGGCTCCCAAACGGGAAGGGTGGGCGGCGGTCCCAAACGGGAAGCGTCCACAGTCTCCCTGGAGGCACGAGAGCGCGAGCTGCCAACATACCGGCTGGTGGCTGTATTGGTCTCTCTGGGCAGCCGGTGTAGGGTCGCGCGACCGGGGGAGGAGGGTCCGCGGAGTGGTGCGCGCGTGCGCGCGGTCTCGGGGTGCAGGGGGGGCAAAACGCGGAGGTGCCGAGGAAGTTGGGAACGCTGGTGCCACGTCCTTGCTACAGGATCACCGTGTGGCAGGCGGCGCAGTCTCTGGCGCTGATGGTCCACAGGTCTCTCCACCCGCTCTGGCGAAGCCCACCAGGCAGTCCCGAAATGCAGGGGCAGGGGAAAAGCGATCCACCTACCCTTGCCGCTGGTCTCCGGGCTTGCTCCCGGTGGTCTCAGCCTCAGTTCTTCGCTCCGCAGCCTCCTCCCGTGGAGTCTCCCGGGGTCTCAGGTACCCCTCCTTCCGGCCCTTGTCCGCTGTATGCTCGTCTTCTTGCTTCTTTCCTCTAGTTTCTGCTAGAATCGGTCTTTTCTGCAGAGACCCTCTGTCTGGCCGTGTTATTCGTCCGCCATCTTGCTCCGCCCCCCCTGTTTAACTCTTGAACACTGAAACTTCACAGGCAGCAGATGCCCAAGGGGGTATGAGTCAGAACTAAAATGCAGCCTACCTCCATTTGCCCACACAATGGCCCAGCATGGCGGCAAAGGCCTAGAGTAGGGGGAGCATGATTTTCTAATTGGTTCACTCCAAAGGCACTGTCATTTTCTAATTGGTCCTCCGGAGGTAGTGCCTTTTTCTAATTGGTCAGTCCAAAGGACTGATTGGTCAACCTAGAAAAAGTGCCTTTTTTCTAATTGGTCCATCCAGAGGAGATATTTTTTCCTCCCTAATTTGCACAGAGCCCTGGATGCTTGTCCTTCCTGCCCATGTGGGAGATCCCGTGGGCCAAGGAGATCCATGAGAAGTGCCCATGAGATCAAGGAGACTCATCTTCAGAGAAGTGTTCAGACATGTAAGCTGGATCAAAGAAGACAGACTCATATTTGGAAGAAACAGTGATTTTTTTAATATGGTATGAAGTTTGAAATTGATTGATTGTGGCCCATTTTTCCATGGATTCCTGGCTGAATCTGGAGGGTGCAGTGAGAGGGACACCAGAGTAATTTCATGTTTCTGACTCTATAAAATTAAAAATTCTCAGTGAGAAGTCAGTTCCACTCACAAGGGAATTTATTGAAGAGACTATCTGTAGCAACATGGGCAGGGATAAGGAAAGCAACAAGCGATGCTGATGTGGTACTCAGTCAGGAAGTACACTTTTTGTGGTATTGATTTGGGACACATGTTACCCATTATAACACAAAATTAGGGAACAAGATGTCTCCTTTCGCAAGGTAACACAGGATAGTCTTGGTTCCTGATGTCTGTCTTTTCATCATTTAGAGATGGCTTCAAAAGAAATAGCAGAGGTAGCCCCAAGATGACTTTGCTGTGGATCATTTTCATGGTACCCTCTAGGAAGTTCTAGTACCCTCTAGTACCCTTTAGTCATTGTTAAGGATGGGCTGTGGTTGTGAGCTAATTTTTAATCTGAAGGGTGGTGGTCTGTGCCACATGGAATCCATGACAGTCTCTGAGCTTCAACACACAAGCCCCCTAAACTCCAAGCCTTGGATCCACATAGTGCATGTTGTCAGCTTTAATCTCCCAGGTCATAGAGGCTACATCACATTGTGAGGTAACAATAGCTAATATTTATTGAGTATTCACTACATGTCAGGCACTCTGCTGAGTATAAGTTGATACTTCACAGTAACTACAAAATGGAAGGCTACTTTACAACTGCAGAGACTGAGTGTCAAAGAGGTCGGAGGATTTACCCACAGAATCTCAGCCAGTAAGTGGCAAGGCCAGAATCTCATGCAGGTGCTCTCACTCTGCAGCTCTTACTCCCTTTATGCTATCCTGCTGTGACTCTTTGAGCCATAAGTTTTCTGAGTCTGGGAAGCAGATGGAGGATGCAAGCTGGCTTAAAACTTTTGAGTAACATTGCAAAAAAGCTGCAGAATGAAGGAGATGAATAAATGGAGTGGGCAGGACGTGGTGGAAGATTTCTTCTGTGGCCGAAGGAATCCACAATTGGAAGGGGCTCTGGAGAATAAGAGCGGAGCTAAAAAGGATCATTTAATTGTAAGAGCTACATGGATTTAGGAAACACTGTACAGGGGAACCAATACTAAAATTGGAAAAGCCACAGTAGAATTTCTATGTATTCTCAGGGTTGGAGAACAAAAATGTTTGGTTCGCATTTTCACCCTTTTAATCTTCAAAATTGGGTGTGATTACTATTCTTACCTTTTTAAAAATTTAGGGTATAACATGCACACAGAAAAGTGTATGATCTTAAATGTACACAATGACTTTTTTACATGTGTTTATATTTGGCCATCCACTATACACATAATAACAGGACATCTGCAGTACCCCATAGACTTCTTTGTATACCTTTCTAGTAAATTTACTCCCACAGGAAACTATTCTTCTGATTTCCTTTAACCATGGATTACATTTGCTTGAGATTCATGCAAATGAAATCATAAATGTCATCTTCGTGTATGGCATCTTTTGCTCAACATTATAGCCATGAGAACCATCCATATTGTTACATGTAGCACTGGGTCATTTTTTTTACTACAATCTATTCTGTCGTTGAATATACTATAATTTGTTTGCCTACTCTATTATTAATAAGCTTCAGGGTAGTTTTCATATCAGGATTATTCATGTCTGGGTGGACATAATAACTCATTTTCTTTGAGTAGATACCTAGTTTATAGGTTAGCCATATATTCAGCTTTAATAAAAATCACCAGTGTTTAAAAATGACTGTGAAAATTTACACTCCTACCAGCAGCATAAGAAAGTTACAATTTCTCTACACTGTCACCAACACTTGCATTTTCTCCATTTTTGTTTTAGTCATTCTGTTATACTGTACCTCATTGTGGTTTTATTTTGTATCTCTCTGATGAGTGATCATGTTTATCACTTTTTGATATGCTTATTAGCCATTTGGATATTTTCTTTTGTAAGATGTCTTTTCCAATCATTTGACTATCTTTTTCATTAAGTTGTCTGCTTTTTCCCATTGATGTGTGGGAGTCCTTAATGTTATGGGTATACAATTTTTGTTGTGTATATATATTGCAAATACTTCTCTCAGCCTGCAACTTGTCTTTTCACTTTCCTAAAATTATATTTTAATCACTAGAGTTCTTAATTTTTAATGAAGTGCTATATTTCAAACTTTAATTTTATTGTATTAGGTTATACTGGCTTCATAATATAGATTAGAAAGTGAGCTCTCTTCTTTCCTCTCTGGAAGCATTTGTGTAAGATTGATACTTCTTTTTTAAATTCTTGGAAAAAATTCACCAACAAAGCCATATGAACCAGTAATTTCCTTTGTGGAAAGACTTCAATTACAGATTCAATGACTTTATCAGATATAGAATATTTCAGATTTTCCATTTCTTTCTATTTTCCATTTCAGTTTTGTTAAGTTTGTTTTTCAAGGGATTTTCCATGTTATTTAAATGAATTGGCATAAAGTTTTTAAAACATTCTCTTAAGGTTTTATTGTCTGTAGGATCTGTAATGATGCCTCCTTTTTATTTCTAATAATGTCACTCAAGTTTTATCTTTTAAAAAAACACTCTTTTTTACTAGAGATTCGTTAATTTTATTAATCTCTTTTTTTAAAAACTAAGTTTTGATTTTGTTAGCTGTTTCTATTGTTGGTCTGTTTTTTATTTTCATTGATTTCTTCCCTTATCTCCATTTACTTTCTTTAGGATTTGATTTAATGTTCTTTTGCTAGCTTCCTGAGAAAGAAGCTTAGATTACTAATTTTCAACCTTTTGACTTTTCTAATATATGCATTTATGGCCATAAATTCCTCTTTAAGGATTGCTTTGGCTACATCCTATAGGTTTTGTTGTCACTTGTTTTATTCAGTTAAAAATATTTTCTAATTTATCCTGTGATTTCCTCTTTGGCTCATTGTTCATTAGTTAATTGTCAAGTATATGAAGATTTTCCATTCATATCCTGGTGCTGATTTTTAGTTTAATCCTACTGTGGTCAGTGAAAAACCTTTGTATAATATAACTGAATCCTTTGAAATATGTTGAGAGTGACTTTTTGGCCCAGAATATGTTCTATTGTGGTAAATGTTTTATGAACACTTGAAAAAATAGTGTATTCTGAAATAGTTGAATGAAGTGATCTCTGAATGTCAATTAGATTTTAATCTTTTAATACTGTCATAAAAAGCACCTATACATCAAATAAAAATATGATGTAAACTACATATGTAATTTTAAAATCTTAGTTTTATAAATCTTTAAAATAATTTCACCTTTATTTTAAGAGGTAAAATAAAAATGTGAAATTTATTTTAATAATATATTTTATTTGAGCCAATATATCTATAATATTATCATTTCAATATTTGATAAATATTGTTATTAATGATAAATTTTATATTTTGTACTAAGTTCTCACAATGACTTGTATTTTATACATGTTATATTTGAAAATGCTAAATTTTATCTAAATTATTTAATTTATATTGATTGCATAAAATTTACAGGTGAAATAATATCTTCATATACCAAAGATATTCAAAATATACTTTAAATTTTTCCAGTAACTGAATTGACTATCAAGGAATCATTTTCCTTTAATATTCTCATCCACATTGACAAAACTGGTTAAAGTTTTCTTCTATAAGAATTCATATGATTTTGAAGCAAAATCATATCAGTTTCAAAATTATGCCTTTCCAAGTTAACTACATTCACTAAATCTTTTGTTAATACAGTATCATTATTTTATTCAAAAGAGTATTATGTACATTTTTGGATGATTCTAAGAGCATTCCTTTTGTTTTAAAAAAAATATTGAATTGGACTTAAAAGTGCAGTAAATCTGTGTAAAATTTTTCCATGATTCAACCAATGAGCATTTAGAAGTATACAATATCACTAAATTAAATGTCTTCTGTTTCTTTTAACTGTTATACAAACTGGAAATAGATGAGTCATAACATTTTCACATATGTACTAAATGATTTTAGTAATCATCTCCATGACACTTTTCATAGTCTGCTTCAAAACTGAAGCACAGATATTTTCAAATATGTATCATGCAGTAGAATGAAGCAATTATAGAAACTCAGGCTACTGTTTCAAAGTGTCAGTAAATTTTTATGTTTGACCTAACATAGCTGGAATATTGTCTATTGTAATAGAACTAATTTTTCATATCTACCTGAAATCCTTCTTTGAAAAATATAAAACATTCCAAAATATTAATGATATAAGTTTGAATTTTTAGAATGCAAACTGATAATTCTTTTAAAAATTTGAATCTTTTGTGACAAGAAATTTCATCAGTGTTTTATATTATACAACTTGCCAGTCATGGTGGCTTACAGCTGTAATCCCAGCACTTAAGGAGGCCCAGGTGGAAGGATCTCTTGAGGACAGGAGTTTTAGACCAGCCTGTGCAACATAGCAATACCCCATCTCTAGAAAAATTTATAAAAATTAGCCTGGCATGGTGACGTATGCCTGCAGTCCCACCTACTTGAGATGCTGACATAAGAGAATCTCTTGAGCACAAGAGTTCAAGGTTGCAGTGAGCTATGATCATGCCACTGCATTCTATCCCTGGTAACAGAGCAAGATCCCATATCAATAAATAAATAAATAAAAAGTAAATAAATAGATAAATAAAATATACAACTCATATGAAGCTTTAAAACACTTGAAATTTTTCAAATTTTGAATCAATTGATCATTGCTATTGTTATTAATAGAAACATCTTTTATTTTTCAGGCAATTTTTTGGTAGCTTAATTGTGAGCTTTAAGTTTTTTGTGAAATATCTTAAGTATTTTCCTTATAATTTTGTAACAAAATTTACATAACTGAAATAATAAATTTTTTGCCATCTCTTCATCAAAAAACAGTTTTGGTGTATGTGCGTGTGTAAAATTCTAAGCTTCTTTATTGCTGGCCAACATTATAAGCTCAGATACTGTTAAAAATTATTTAAAATTCTTTTAGACATTTAATTCTAATTTCAAGTGATTCACCACTTTCCTTATATTGTAAGAAATTTATAACAGTTTAAATCCATTTACCTCCTTATCTTTTGTACTTACATTGACATATAGTTTAATTTTATATATGTTTTAAACTATACATTATAATCATAATCAATATTTATTTATAATACATTTATTTTGGGGAGTGCTGTTTGTTCTTTTCTGCACTGTTCTCCCAGATTTTCTTTGTCTAGAAAATGTCTTTATTTCACATTCATTTTTGAAAAATATTTTTGGCTAGGTATAGAACTCTAGGTCGAGGTTTTATTTTTCAACACTTTAAATATGTTGCTAATATTGTCTTAATTTACCTAGGATTTTTTTTTCTTTTTTGACAAGTCAGCACTATTCTTACTGCTGTTCCCCTAAAGGTGATATGCCTTATTTTTTGTGACTGCTTTTGCATTTTTATCATTATGTTTTATATTCTGAAGTTTTAATATATGACAACGATTATTTTCTTTGCATTTATTTGACTTGGGCTTTTTGATTTCAAAGTTATGCCCTTGATCACAATCCCATGCGGCCAGACTTGGGCTTTTTGAACCTGTAAGTTGATGACTTTTACACTATTGAAAAATTCTCTTCAGTTTTCTTTTTTATAGTGCTTCTATCCCATCCATTTTTCCTCTTCTAGAAATCTGATTACATGTTCACTACTCCTTTTCACAATTTGCCATATGTTTTTAAAACTCTTTTCTGTATTTTATATCCTTTTTTCT